ATCGGGAGTTTATCTCAGACCTCACGGAAGTACTGTTATTTATCACATTTAATTCTCCCAAGAAAAGAGTGCGTTAGGAACTATGTAAACAGGAGCTGGGCCGGGAACGCTGTCTATATACACACTGCACCATTTCAGCTCGTCGTCAGCCTAGTATAAATATGATGGGAGGGCTGGAAGGAGGCAGGCCCTGTGTACATAAGAGGGGTATGAAGGAAACACTTGTCTGAGGCTGCGGGCAGCCAAGGGAACAGATGCCACACTGTTCTGGGCTCCTCTTGCAGGAGTGGTGATACAGACATAGGACGGTCTATGTTGACGCCCCACGCCATGAAAATGTGGGGTAAGCTGTGTCAAAACCTGCTTTTAGGCACAGCAGAGTCTGGGGAAATTATGTATTGGACTACAGTGACTAGCATCCCCAGCCCTTGGAGTGCTGTCTTGGCTCCCTGTCCTGGCAGGGGATTCTGGGTGTGGCAGTCTATCAGCCTCTTTAACACCAAGCTGTGTGTCACCTCCATAGGATATAGCCCTCTAAACAGCTGTGTATTGGGATAACTCAGTGGTTTAGGTCTCTGGAGCCAGACGTTGGGAGTTCTATTCCCCTGTGGTGCTTCATTGACAGGGGCTGGACTAGATATCAGTGGTTTAGATCTCTGGAGCCAGAAGTTGGGAGTTCTATTCCCCTGCGGTGCTTCATTGACAGGGGCTGGACTAGATGATCCGCAGGATCCCTCCCAGCTCTGCAGTTCTAAGATTATTCATTATTATTAAGTTCAGGATGTTGCTTTGGGGGAACAACAGTTGCCAGCCAGCATCTTCAGTCGTTGCCATGTCTGCACCTAACCCATTTATTCTTCTAACAACAGGCTATCTGTTTTGTTTAATCCTGGCAGATAGGGAGACATTATCATTTTATACAGTGCTGCCTCGCTAGACAATGATCATCCGTTCCACTGAAATCACTGTTTAGCGAAATCATTGTCTAGCAAAAAGCATTTCCCCACTGGAATGCATTGAAACCTGTTTAATTCTTTCCAATGGGGAAGAATTGGCGTTGTCTAGTGAAGATTGGCCATAGGAAAGCCGCTTTGCGAACCGCCAATCAGCTGGTTAAATCACTGCCATGCGAAGCTTAGATCCCAAAAACACCCGTTTTGTGAGTGCGGAGGGAGCTGTCAAAATCGTTGTCTAGAGAAAATCGGTTTGCGAAGCAGGGACCAAACGTTGTCCAGCGAAATTCCCCCATAGGAATCACCATAGGTGCCACTGTACCTTCAAGCTAAAAAGCCACCGTCCCCAGCTCTTCCTCTGTGGAGTGCGGAGAATCGGTACCTCCATCGGCTCCAGCCGGAGGTATCTTTCCGCAGGGGACTGACCGGGAATGCTAAGAGCCTGGCATTAGAATCTGGAAAGTTCACAAAGGATGGGCTTTCTCGTACAGCTCGTGCTCTGTGCCTTTGTACATATGATTGGTTGATTACATCTGATAAGCAACAGCATCCAAGCCTTCAAAGGGGAGCAGCTGCCCTCCAGCTAATGAGGATGTATTTTTAACTTCCTGGCACACCGCCCTAAAATGCGGCAACTGGCCTCCTCTTCCCTGGATCCCTGTTCTTTCATTCCTCCACAAAGCCCCTAAGCGCCAATGAGTTGCAGTGCCGAACAAGGTCCCTGGGAGTCCTTAGTTTCCACTGTTGCTATGATTTTAAGGAATCTTAAATCTTTTTGCATTCTCAGGATGCAAAAACAACTAGGACCTTACTGAAAATAACTTTTAATGACTTCTTTTTAAAGAAGCACTCTTTCCCTGCTTCAATAACAAGGCCGTTCACACCTCTGATTATCAAGGTACCTCAAAGGGACCACCTGAGGAGGCCAAAAAAGCAAACAAACAAAAAAACTCAACATGAGGAACCAGGTTTTCTCGGTTCCTTCCCTCTGGGATGGGTTTCCTGCAGAGTTGTGCCAGCAAACCAGCCCTCTCTGTGTTTGGGAAGCTAATTGAGACCAAATTATGGAAAGCTGCCTTCTACTAGTGTGAATATTGTCCGGAGATGTTCAAAGGGGATTCAATTTGTGGGTTTTTACATACACGTAGTTTTTAGCTCATGACACAATTGATTGCATTTTACTGTAGCTTTGTATGTATTATACAGTGTTTATAGTGATGATTTTATTGAGCATTGTGAACTGCCCAGAGATTAGCAACACTAAGGGCGCAGTATAGAAATGGGAACGAACGAATGAATGAGCGAGCGAGTGAGTGAGCGAACAAACGAATGAACAAACAAACAAACATGAACGAATGAATGAGCGAGCGAGTGAGCGAACGAACAAATGAACAAACAGACAAACAAACAAATGTGATTAGCATAAAACTGCCAAAATATGGACAGACAGGTATACTTTGTTCCGTTGCAGAAGTAACAGAGCATCAAACTATATAACACAGGCTGCACTTTATTATATATTTAAAGCGTGTTTGTCTTATCTTTGTAGCTGAGTTCTCACTTTTGCAAACAAAGTCTTCTGGCTGACCAATCACAAAACAGTGCAGACTAGCTGACAAGCTACAGGAGGTGAGGAAAAAAATGAGTGGTAAGACTGTAGTGAGCCAGCATGGCATAGTGGGTGGAATATTGAAAAAGGACTCTGGTGTTCTGTGTTAAAATCCCCACTTGGCCATGGAAACGCAGTGAGGAATAGCAACAGCAGACCGTTCCTTAGAATCTCAAATACCTAGAAAACCATATCAGGGCCACTGTAAATCAGAGGTGACTTTACAACAAGAACAAGAGCAACATGACTGCTGTCTTCTGATGTTTAAGAAACTCCTGACTATTGAAGTTGACTCAGTTACTGAAGACAAACAGAGAAGCAGTCAGTTGGAGAACTAGCCCTATCATTAGTCAGAGTGAAGAACTTCAAGGACAATACAGTAGGTGGATTCTAGCTGCACCAGCTCTAAGGCAGGGGAGATACTGTATTTTCCATGTATAATATGCCCCCATGTATAAGATGCCCCCAACTTTTCTACTCCAAAATTAAGAAATCTAAGAGGGTCTTAGCAAGGGTGGGGGGAAAGGGATCAAAGCGCTGCAGGATCGCTTTGATCCCTGCTTTCCCCCTCCATTTGTTTTTGTTCTCTCCTCAGCTTCCGTGTATAAGACAACTCTCAATTTTTAGTCTAAAGATTTCAGACAAAAGTATAGTCTTATACACAGAAAAACACGGTAATTTAAAAAGACAAGGGTGTTTCTGGCATGTCTAAATGTCATGTTCTGAAGCTGGAGAAGAAAGCCCCAACTAAGGTTGCCAGGTTGTCAGTACCTCATCCCATAATTTTTTCCCCTTGAAAAATTGCCTTAAATCTTGACTCTCAAGACCAAAGGTCAAGACCTACTCAACCATAAGCACCACCATCCTTGAACCTAGGGATCCATCACAAGTCAAAAAAGAGAATCCTAGGATGAAAGAGGCCATCGACCTATCACAAGACAGATTCAGAGATCCGCATGCTATTGGTTCTTCTTATCTACCCTGCACAATGTAGATAATAAACCTTGTGTTTCCATCAAAGATACCAAAATAGGAACCACACGCTATCGGAGCAGAGGAAGAAACAAGCTGACAAGAGATACCAGATCTGTACAGATTGTAATTTCAATCCAATATTTGGTTTCTTTTTAACAAGAGGCAAGGGGAAAGAATGCAAAAAAGAGAGAGAGGCAATTACAGGAACCAGCCCGGTGGGGCCATCATCTACAGAGCTATAAATAAGAAAAGCCAGAAAGGGAATATTTGGTGGAATTGAAGCTTTCGAAATCAGCAAGTCTCGGTAAAAATGATCTCTTCTCCCACGTGCCTAACGGAATTAGGTAATGAATTTGCTGAAACCACCAGGACATTTTCCTAAGAGTCTTGGAAAGCCAGGCGTGCACCAGATTTATTTAATGTCTTTATTAATGATCTGGAAGCAAGGATAAACAACCCAGTTAATTAAATTTTGCTGCTGTTGCTGTTCAAGCCAGGAGTTATTTCAGCCTCTAGTTTAAAAAAGAACGAGAGCTGAAGTCGAGAGATCGCAACAAGGGTAGAACTCTACCTTGTCAGGAAGGAAAGCATACAAGGGTTTTTTTGGGTCTGGAAAATAGCTGATCCAAGGGGTCCGTAGTTAAATGACAGATTTGATAAGAAGGCCATGCCTGCGGAAAGCTGTGGTTGGAGCATGAAGCTTGTTAGAGTGAGTTATGGGGTGATCCAGCTGAACAAGCAAATGCTTTACAAGGCAGCAGTGTGGTATACACCTGGAGGCATCGCTCTGAAGAACCAGACATAACAGACGCTTTCTTCGAGGTGGTCCAGTCCCTGAAAGCGAAACGTACACCGTTTTCCAGGGACAGTCATTGCAACATCTCCGCTACAAAGTGAGCCTCCAGACCTTAACGTTGTGTACCCCCTTTTTTGTGTGGATTCCATGTATGCAGCCTAACCACACTCCTACAGCCCCAAAAATCTCTTAGCACAGCCAAACAAGAGTTGCTTCTTTGGGACACGAACGCTTAGCCTTCCTCCCTCGACGTTGGCGGAGGCGACGCTGACTAGAGGACTCTGGGAAGTGGAGTTGGCAAAAGGAACTTCAGCTCCGAGCCAGACGCCACCTCTCCAGATCTCCGAGCCTTCAGGCAGTCTCTTCAGAAACCACCCCTACAGAAATCCTCGTGGCTAGAGGCCTGGACAGCGCCCAAACCGTTATGACAGAGGCGGGAAAGAACAAGGCGATATTCAAAGTCCTTTTAGAAGAAGGGAAATGGGGTCGGGGGGGAAGAAATCCTAGCCCTTTAAGAAGGGGAACTGCCTTGTAATCTGAGAGGTGTCTGCTTTAACCCAGCCCGATTTTGTGACTGGCGAGGAAATTCAGAAGGTCCCTCCCTCGGCAGTAAGTTTATTAAATATAGTAGTAGCTGGACCCCAATTGGAAACAGCCGTCTCTCTGGAGCTCCTGCCTCCTTCACTTGCTTCTTGCTCTCAGTGTCGCAGGGCATGGACTGAGCGGACGGCTAGCCCAGTTCTTCTACGCAACGCCATGGGATTGAGCCTGCCATCTGGAGTGTCAGCCCTCCTGGGTCTCCTCCAGCTCCTGCTGCGGATCCCACCCCTTTGTGCAAACCCAGAAACTGCAGGTAAGATCTATTCCACTCCCCCCCCCCAGATCCCTCCTGCTGAAATGTCCCCTCTCTCCGTTTTGCGGCGGAGGGTGCGTGGGTAGGCAGGGACAAAGGAAATGTGCTCGACGATAGGACCTGAGTCTCCAAAAGGGACAGGTGGATGCATGATCCTGAGGACGGCCACTGTCCCGAAGGCCAGAACTGAGACAGGAAGGGGCATCCGGGAGTGAGACGACGTGTTCCAATAGAGGTTGACCTTGTTATAGCTCTCTTGTGACCTTCGTAGCTTCTGGTATTTTAATGCTTGGGTCTGGAGTTCATTTGGAGATGCCTTGAACGCAACATCTTCTTGACATGTCCTTAAACTGGAGTTTTCAGACTGAGTGAGTGAGAGAGGAGGTGCCGTTCCCATGCCTGGAAGTGTGGTTCCTTTATCTCGTCCAGCAAAAAGTTAGAGGCTGAAGACAGCAGCCGTGCCAATACCTCATTGTCTCATTTATTGGCTCCAAAGGCCAATAAAGCCCCAGGAACAAAGATCGTTTTTGCTCTGTTTGGTTTATAGTAATAAGTTGGTTGCATGCAAAGCTGTGAAATCACCCTCATTGACAGGACTTTCAGGGGTGTACATAGACATTCCTGGGCTGCCTTAGCTATTCGTAGAAGATGAGAAGGATGGAAGATGCATTCTTGCAGCCAAAATGTGTCTCCCAATTGCAGGGTTGAGATGGAGCCTCCATACCTTCTTGAGATCTTCCTACCAAGTGGGAGCGTAGACCTGTCTTGGGTGTCTGAGGTAGATGGTGTTGCCATCAAGGTCTCGCTTGGGTGGGAGCTGAGGTTTGGGGCTCCACACCCAGGGCTGACCCCTTCTTCTAGGAAACTCCTTCCCCTGGGTCTTTAGGGTTCTAAATGGCCCCTTGGACAACCAGGTGCAGAACCCCACGTGGATCCAGCCCCGGCTTCTTGACAACATCACCATTTGTATGGAAAGGAACATATTTGTAGATGGGGCTCTAACTAGGATGGGGGCACCTGGGGCTTTGCCCCTGAGATGCCAAGATCTAAAGGGGGCTGAAATGGAGAGGTGAATCTACTGGAGAGGGTGACCAAATAAAATAAAACAAATCCTTCTTGTAAACACAGAGAGTTCATATTTCTCAGGAGGGGCCCCCACATTCTGCTCCTCCATCCTCTCTAGATGGGGAGTTCATAGCCATGCCCTGCCACGGAGTGGGTGGGTGGCAATTCTGCTTGCTATGGGTGTCAAAAAATTCCTAGTCACAATTCTGTTCCTAAGAGTCCTGCAAGAGCAGGATCTAAAGGAAGCTAAAGACTACTGAGTTTTCTTTGCAAAAGCTTTCCTGGACAGCAGCCCACCTCCTCAGAGGCAATCCAGAAGCCGTGGTTTGCAGAGAAGACTTGAGCGCATGACTAACACCTGCGTTGAAGCCATAAGGGGTGTGGCAGATATTTCCAGTGGTCATGGGGCAGTAATTCATTGTTCTACCCACTTAAACCAGCCAGTTTTTTCTGGCCTTTCAGAGGAAAGTGGCTTAACTCTGCAGTAGAGAGATCCATGGGACTCTTCTTCTACCCCTCAAAACAATGAATCAAATTTACCTGTCTCTCTTGCGTTGTTGTGATCTGTGGCATAACATGCATAAAAGCAGACTTACTTATTGTGTTGCACTTGTGGAAACTATGCATCTGAGGATGATTACTGAGCCCGTGCGTTGGCAAAAGATTATTAGCTGCTCAGGAAATGAAGATGTAGCTGCTCAGTGTCTGTGAGGGTTGGGGGAGCTGTCGTTTCAGCCGAGAGGAATATCTTGTATGGAAGAAAAGGCATTGAAACTCTTTGGTGCTGGCTGAGGATGGGGGAGGAAGACCTCAGGATGTAGAGGCCGAAATCCAGAGCGGAGAGGTGTCCAGAGGTTGAGAGGTTGAAGGCGGAAAAGGGAAAGATAAAGGGCTGGGAAAATGAACTTGAAGGCCAGTTATTGACATGACCATTGGGGAGGTAGAAAGGCTGAAATTTTGATATAAGCAGTGGCTAAACAGAAATAAGGCTATTCACAATCCTTGGCAGTCAGGAGTAGCTACAGGCTAGAGAGCACGAGGAAAGGAGATTAAGGAAGATCATGGAAACACCGAGGCCAAAGGGAGCGGTTGCTAGGGTAAAGGACCAAAAAAACGTTGAGTACAGGAATCCTGCCATTAACGGTGTCACCGGAGAGTTGGCGTCTCTTTTTAGGCAAGCAAAGACTGTACTTAACAGGAATTCCCCACAAGGAATTGAATTGAGGGCTACATTCTTGAAGGCTTCTAAGGGTGTTATTAAATGTGCCTGATTTCCATCCTCGCATCAGGCAGAGGGGGTGGGTGGGTTGCAAGATTTGAGAGTTTTAAATCAAACAGACGATAATAACAGTATAAAGGCACAAGGCGGTTTATTACAGGGACTTTTCCTTAGATGGTAAAGCGCTTGTCTTGTCTAGGTCTCCCGCTTGCCAATTGAGCTGGCTTAATATAGGTGTGTGATGTATTTAAACGCAACGGTAGTAAATTCCAGGGGAATAGATCCGACAGCCTGGCACAGCAAAGGCACATACATGTGTGCACACAAATATAAAGGCTAGAGTGGTTTTGAGGGATAAATATTGGTGTCCCAGCCACACCTTAGTAAGATTTGCTGAACATTTTGAGCAGATATAGCGTGCTTTATACATCTGACCAATTGTTTCGATCCTGTATCTTCTTCGAGCAGAAATATGTGGCTTTCTTTTGCCCCACCACAGCCCTGTGAGGTAGCTGAGGCAGAGGGAGATTCGCCAGACCCAAATCCCCTACTGAGTTTCATGGCTGAACAGGGACTTGGCCTGGGTCTTCCGAGAGCCTGTTGACTGCTCTGACCACTACACCACGCTGGTCTTCATGTAGAGCATTGTGCCTACAGGACATGAGAGACCTGAACAGTCCTGATGCTGTCCTTTTGTGGCAACGAACACCAACAATTGTAGTTCCCCACGTGGAAATACAAGATATCTAACCCAACTTTGTCCAATGTTTTCCACCACACTTTCCATCAGCTATGACCTGAATGTCCTATGGTTGGGGATGATGGAGTCAGGACTCAAAAATTTGGCTGAGGAGAGCAGATCTAATCACGTTCTCAGACAGTTCTGCCAAACTACCATTTCCAAGATCTTTAAAGAGAAGATAATGGGGTGGAATAAACAGTGGTTGATTAACCATCATCCGATGCTCTTGTGATGCAGATCCGTCCTCATTCTATACTGTTACATACATTTCTGAAAGGCTGTGTATTTTTGCTGCCTCTCTCTTCCACCTGAGCTGGTTTTTGGTTTTCGTTTTGAGTCCATGAATGTTGGCACAGACAATCTGGCCTCTGGAAATAGCGGGATTTATTTAGACGGTGCATTCACTCAAAACCTTGCACCTTCTAAAAACATACTGTTATTTTTATACAAGGCCTGGTGACACCACCTCGCAGGAGTGGGACAGAGGACAGAATGAATGAGCCTGTTTATTCGTGATGGGTGGGTTAGCTAAAGGCATGAGGCACATGGGAGAACCTCCAGAAAGTGGTGCCCATGTTTTCCCACAGGGTGGTGTAAAAACTTGGCATGGTAGGTGTCTGGCAGTCCTGCCATATTTATTGTTCCTTGTCTTCTTCTGTCCCACCCCCAGCCCTTTCTCCCTCTGCCAACTCTGCCCTAAATCAGAGGACACAGTCACACCCATCCTTGACCTCTTTACAGGCTGGGCATGTGGTCTGAAGTTCTTTCATAGGGCTCCTGTGGTTCCGTTCCGTATTTCAAGCTCATATTTGGATATCTCTCACCTTTCTGTTCCTCTTCGGGTTATTATTCCTCTTCACATTTTGTTTTGATCCCAGATGAACAAGAAGGGGACTACAACTCCCAGAAACCCTGGCCAGCACAGCTGGTGGTGGAGGCTTCTGGGAGTTGCAGTCCAAGACCCTCTGGGGACCCAAGGTTGGGAACCACTGATGTAAATATTCTGTTTGGTGGCCACATGACGAGTTGTAAGCCATGTTCCTAGTCTCCAACCACAGGTCGTGTGTGTGTGTGAGAGTGTGTGTATGCGCGCGCATGTTTCAGGAAAGAGTTGTAAGCCATATTCCTAGTCTCCAACCACAGGCCGTGTGTGTGTGTGTGTTTGTGTGTGTATGCGCGCGCATGTTTCAGGAACAAAAAAAGATCAAGAAGAATTTCAGGAACCAAAAAAAGATCCCAATAAATCTTTTGCTTTCCACCATCCGAGCACTTTTTCTATCTAGCTGGGCGCCATCTTGTTTGAACCACAATGCCAAGAAACAGCAGTAAACACTCTCCTCATTACTAATGTGTTGTCCCCATCAAGGGAATGGAAGAAGGTCTTAAATTCGTAGTGAGCTCTGGAAAGACAACATATAGGCTAACATCATGTTGAATTTTCATGTATGCACAGAACTCCAATGGTAGAAGCTGCCATGGAAATCTGAGGAGAGGCTAGTTGTGCACAACTGGGCGCATGACAAATCACTTATCAGATTGCCCAATCACCACCCTGCACAGTTGTAATTCCGTACTCTTCTACCTTGAATGAGATGCTGGGCGCTCACATTACATTTTCCCCCTACTCTTAATCCTAACCCTATGGCTAACTCGTAATATACAGGAATATGTGGGGTGAGAAACTCCTCAAAAACTCCTTCAATATATATATATATTGTTTAAATTCTGGTGGGTGAGGATTTAGTAAGCCTCGTGGCGCAATGGTTAAACAGCAGTGCTGCAGCCCAAAATCTGCTCACAACCTGGGTTCAATCCCAGGGAGCCGGCTCAAGGTTCACTCAGCCTTCCATCCTTCTGAGGTCAGTAAATTGAGTAATCAGCTTGCAGGGGGGGGGCAACATGTCACTTGTAAAATTAAAATGTAAACCACCCAGAGAGTGCTTTAAGATCTATGGGGCAGGATATAAGCAGCAC